TTGATATAAGCTCGAAACCTAGAGAAAATATTTATTTCGTGTTTTATTCTAAATACGCACAATATTGTGAATCGAAATATTAAAGAAAGCACATATAAAAATTTAATTCTTTTTTAATTTTTGATAACTTCAACCGGTACAAATTTGCTCATTTACCCAGGAAGCATAACTGTACTAATTTTGTCTTCTTTGCGATTACTCTGTATGGATATTAAAGCAGTTGAACACTTCAGTCAGCAGAAGTACATGAGGAAGAAGTGTTTACTAAACTTACAATGCGCAGTGATAGTGGTCTACAACTGATTAGAAGGTTACTGATAGCCCTCCGCACCAGCAACCTTAAGTAATCAATAAACCGTTTATTTTTGAAAAACAAATGTCGCCGTCTTTTTCCACCAAATAGTGTAAGGTGCGCACAGGAATAATTCTGCTTACAAATTATATGTTGGTCAACATAACTTGATTATTTATTAACATAATAATATTTTACTAACGCTTCACAAATTTGAGCCTTTTGATTCTCTTTATACGTAAGACAATAATCTTTCGATCTTTTTCTTTTATAGCTGAGTTTCCTTATAAATAAAAATCTCAGAGTTCAATCCTAAGACAAATTTGTTTGGAACGAAAGCTATTTCGCTCTCGTGCCTTTTGACACAGAATACATTTTACAAAAGTTGTGAACATTAATCCCAAAAAAATAAATAAAACAGAAGTTAATGAAGAACAATGGGTGATGATATCGTACGCAATGCGAAATCATCTTCTTGAATACTTCTAGGTAAAACTTTCGTATGGTAGCTACGACTTGAGTACTCAAAAGCTGATATGTGCGTTAATTGTTAATACGCCGGCAGCATAGCACAAGACATTATATATATCAATCGACCTTCACATAGTTATCCTTTGAAAAAATACTAATAGACTTTTCATTTTGACGGAAAAGTGTCTTTTCTGCCACAGAAAAGAAAAAAACTGAAACAAATGTGGTTAACGGGAGCAAAATAATATATAAAATATCGAAAAGGGCTATTCATTTACTAAGAAAATATGCAACGAATAATTCTACGAAAAAAAGACCCAGAGTTCCATACATTAAGTGTTAAGCACAACGTTTTACAACCTAAGTTAACCCTAACCTGCACGCGATAAGGCTTAGAGGCTGATTTAAACTTTGAACTTCTATTTTTTGATTATTTTATGCATATTCAAAAATATGTTCTTAGTTTACGTTGAATTGGCAATTAATACTAAAAAAATATATATAAATTTGGAGGTAGTCAGAAAGTCAAAATTAATGTTTTCCGTTTTTTAACGAATTTTACCACGATGTGCGTCAGTGGTTCACAGCCGGAATCGCCCCAATCGATTCAAAATTTGTAATGGGAGTGCGTTGAGGAAATGTGCATACCATTTCGGAACAGTAATTACAGAATCACATTTGATAATTTGTCACCGCATAGCTCCTTTTGCGGTAGAGCGTTCACAAAATATTCGGCATGCTGCGCCGCATGACAAAAAAAATATTTAAAATGAAAACAAAAACGAGAAGAAGAGTGTAACGAACCCTTTTAGGAGTCCTACGGTGTGAGTGGGCCTCCAAGTTGAGTCCGTCTGTGAGATCTGTTGTCCGTACTGTAAGCCGTTCGTTGGTCCTTTCTTAGTCCGTCAGTAAACATTCCTCGTCCCCCTACCTTTCCTCGCGCGTACACCCACCCATACTCCACTTCAGCGGTGGAGTACACCGCTTTAGCCAAGTCTAGTCAAGCCCTTTCAATTTTTATCCTTTTTATCGTTTTAACTAGATGCATTATTTATTTACTAAAAATTTTTTTTGCATTATTGCCTAGACTTTTCCTTATTCTCTTTGTTCGCTTAATTTTGTGTTTTCAACGATTTAAACACCAATTACGGCTTTGAGAAAATGTGTGAAAATATCCAATTAGGAATTGTTTTATTTACACATTGGTTTATGCTCGGTTTGCATATGAAAAAATGTTTTTTAAAAAAACTTCCAATGGATATCTAAAGCTAAGTTGTTAAATTTAGCTTACCACTTATATATTTATGAAAAGAATACACTCGATTTCATTCTGTGTTGTTTCTAAATTTAAATTACCGATAGCTGCCCCCAGATCCTGACTCCTCTTCACAGCAAAGGGTTGTTGCCTTCGTTGATTTTTGAATGGTCCGGAGGGTTGTCGTTGTTAAAAAGGTTTGCTTTTGATGGGATAATAGTGTCATTAAATGAATTGCAGGCTGATATATTTCCAGACGGTTGCAGCGTAGCAGGTTTAATTAGATTATCTAATTTGACTAAAGTTGAATTCTCACCCGAAATTGCCTGAGGATTTTTTCTGGGGTTCCTTGTATTACTTAAAACTTCTTTCAATCAAATTAGGTTCATATTATGACAAAATGTATATTTCGGATACAGTATATTTGTTATATTTTACAATTTTTCCCAATGTTAGTTTTTTTTCCTGTTTCTTTAATACCATTTCTTTTTTTTTATCTTTTTCTCTTTTTATAATAAAACCTTTTTTTTCGTTTTTTTATAATATTTTTATTTTGACAATTTCTTCGTGTTCCTTAATAATATTTTAATATTAACACTTTTTTTTACGTATATTATTTTTCAATCCCGAACTTTATCTAAAAATTTCCAAAATTTTCTGTTCAATATATTTTTTTTTTTTTTTTTTTTTGCTTTTACTGATTCCTTACTTTTTCTTTTTGTTCTTTTTAAACAGACGTCATTGTATCAATGAGGTGGTAGTCGTAATATAAAAATGTGGGCAATTTTAGTCGTACATGATTAAATTGCCAGCTCGAAAGCTTTTTATTAGCAACTTCTGGAGTTTTTATAAACAATTTTTACAATGTTTTTTTTTTTATTTTACTTAATTTCTCTTCTAAACAGTTCTTTACCCATGTAGTTTTTTTGTTCTTTTCTATACATACTATACTTCAATGGCGTTTACTTTGCCAATTAGTTGTATTTGTGCTATTGTTTTTTTATAAACCTTTTCTATTTCTTTTTATGACAAAACATTTTTCTGCCTAAACTTTTCATAATAGTTTATTAATACTTCACAACCATTTGTTTTTAACAAAAATGTCATCTTTTTCAAACCATTTTTTTTTAGATTATTTCTTTTCTATAAAATAAAATCTTTTTTCTTCTTATTTTAGTAAACGTCTCGCTTCAGCTGTTATTTACCAACTTTCCAAAACAAAAAACATTTTTCTCAAATCGATCTCTTTTACTTTTTCCTTTGGATAGCGGCAGCCGCTATTCTTGCAAAATGTGCTCTCGAATAACGGCAGGCCGTTATTACGATCACACTTACTCTATTGCGATAGAGTAGTGGTCAAATCACCGACAGAACCCTTACGCTACTTTTATACGCGGGCGTTACAAATTTTCTTATCTGAATCCGAGCTATTGTAGAACTTCTATCAGCAAATAAATCTTTATTAAAACCTTACATCTAATTAAGATGGCGACTGCTAAGGCAACTTTATTAGTTCATCCTTCAATTTATTAAGTCTGCAGTGATTATGTTTTTTAAACGAGCTTGCTTCTCTGTTAAGGGAGGAGAGTGAGCAAGACCACTCGAATGGTTTGGGACTTAAGCAACATATCTAGTGATACATTCTTTAATTCTTCTGCTATGACCGGAATATTTAAATTTCTACGAAAACTTGAATATACCATTGAGCAGTTGCTTTCATGCGAAAGACCTTAAAGTGTCTTCTTTGCCACTTAGCTATGAAGAACAAGCTGTACATCATAATTAAATTCCACAGGATCATAGTGGCGTAATAATAGCTTTACATAGATGTAGTTTTGTTATTAAGACTTAGTTCGGAATTTGGGTTTAACACCCACCATAATCCATTCATTTTCAATTTCGCTCTTATATGTGCTTCCAAATATTTAACGCGAGTTTTCTTCACGTTTGCTTTCTAAGAGGAAAAGTAAGGTTCACACCTTTCGCAGGATTAATACTTATTTTTAATTTTCGGAGTCACTGACCTAAGATGACAATATAGTTTCGAACTTGCCTTGACGCTATGATGTAGTTTGCGTACATAAACGTGTAGTAATTCGCAAATCATTAGAGCCGCAATATTGTCTACGCCAAGAAATTTAGTTACCTTTCGATCCTTAATAA